CCCACTTTCCTCTGGTGTGGAAACACTCCATAATTATCCTCTTTCCTAAACCAGGTAAACCTGTTAATTATACATCATCCTATAGACCGATAAGCCTACTTCCGATCCTTTAAAAAATCTTTGAGAAAATCCTTCTCAAACGCATCCTACCCATACTCGAATCCCACAATATCCCTCCCCATCAGTTTGGATTCCGCTCAAGACACTCCGCTGTCCAACAAGGCCTTCGCGTTGTCGACCACATATCCTCTGCACTTGAAAACAAGCAATATTGCACTGGTGCCTTTCTGGACGTAGCTCAAGCTTTCGACCGGGTGTGGCACGATGGCTTGCTTTTCAAGCTCAAAACCCATTTACCTCAACCCTTGTACCTAGTCCTCAAATTCTACCTTTCAAATCACTCCTTTCAAGTCCGCTGCGGCACTGAACTCTCCAAACATTATCCAATTGAGGCTGGTGTTCCACAAGGCAGTGTCTTGGGCCCAGTTCTCTACATCCTTTTCACCGCTGACATCACTTCAAGTCCTGATACCTTCCTAGCAACATTTGCTAATGATACTGCCATCTTATCCTCTCACTCGGATCCTCTAATAGCGTCTCAGTACCTGCAAAGACACCTTTCCTTCATTGAGCAGTGGTGCAACAACTGGCGAATCAAAATTAATGAATCAAAATGCAAGCATGTAACTTTCACTCTTCGACTCAGATCCTGTCCGCCAATCCTTTTTAATTCAATTCCTCTTCCCTACTCAGACACAGTCCGATACCTTGGCTTCCTTTTGGACAAAAGACTGACTTGGAACCCACATCCCAGACTTAAAAGACAAGAGCTTAACCGACGATTTGGTCAGCTATATAGACTACTAAACAGAACATCTCATCTCTCAACAGAAAACAAATTATTAATCTACAAGACCATACTGAAACCTATCTGGACCTACGGACTTGAACTGTGGGGGACAACTAAATCATCGAATATCAAACGCATCCAATCCTTCCAGTCCAAAGTCCTTCGAACAATAGTCAATGCTCCATATTATGTCACGAACAAGACCCTACACCATGACCTTAACATCCCATATGTCCATGACATCATCCCATCCAGATTCTCCAACTTTCACTAGAACCTCATTCATCATCCCAATCCTCTAGCGCAATCCCTATCCAGCTCCGAACATCCATACCATCCCCCTCGAAGGTTGAAACGGCAGTGGCCTCGAGATCTTTTGTAAATATGCCTTTGGAGTCCTGGCAATGGCCAGCTTCTCCACTCATGTCCTGAGCGTCTGTGGCTCTAGTGCCCTCTTTCAGTCTCCATTGGCTTCTAATACTAGTGATGCGGCTGGAAAAGTGGCGCTGGGATCTTCCGGAGTCTTGCTTCGCCTTCCACGTGTGGGGGAAAAAGCCTGGCTCGGAGATTCTTGGGCGAATGTATATATTGTATATAGGTATGATTGTGTTTAGAAGTTTTTATTTTATTTTATTTGTTTATTTTATTTTTATTTAACTTCTTCACCAGTATTCTTTGTTTACTTATTATATTTATATTTATTTCTTTATTATTTGTATATATTGTATGAATGAGAACTTGTAGTCTTAATGCTTATAGCCCTCCAGCAGTGGCTGATTGTATTATTATTCAATAAACAGATTAAAAAAAAAAAAAAAGGTCGGTAGGATGAGGGATTGAAAATGTCTTTGTCCCTTTTGTGTATCATCTTGATATGTGAGTATTTCCATTGTAATGGGAAGTTAGTTGTCCTCAGAATACAGTTGTATATTGTCGTAAGGAACACTAGAGCTTTCCTAGGCATTTGCTGGAGACCCTCGGCAGTCATTAAGTCATAACCTGGAGCTTTTCTTTTTGGGAGATGTCTGATTTGTTGTGTGACTTGTGAAGGAGTGAAAGGAAGAGGAGAAGGTGTCATCTGTAATGGTATGTCTAGAGTATCAAATACTAAGGTTTCATGTTCTGTGTTCGTGAAGTCGGTAAATGGTATAAATACTGATGAAAGATGGTCTGCAAATAGTTCAGATTTTTCTCTATCCGACAAAGCCCATGGACCGTCTTCGTTTCGCAGGGGTACTGACACCTCTCGATATTTTAACAAATTTTTGGTATGCTTCCACAAACTTCCATCGTCAGTTGATATGCTGCTCAAATAAGCATCATAATTCGATCTGTTGAATTTTTGCATTAGTCGTTTAAGTTCGTTATTTAGTCTGTTAAATGTCCGTCTATCTGAGGGAAGTCTGTTAGTCTGATATACCTTACGTGCTCTCCTCTTTGCCGTGCTCAAGTCCCTTATGTATTGAGGATATCTTGGCAAGTGTTCTGCTCTTGATGACCTTGGTAGCGATGAAGACCAAGCTGCTTTTTGGACACTTTTTGTAAATTTGTCCACTGCCTCTTCTAGTTCATCTGCTGTTTTAATGGAGCCAGGGATTGAAAGTTCTGAATCCACAATTTCCCTGTAAGCATCCCAATCCATTTTACCATTAAGGAGCTTAGGTGTTCGTGGAAGATTGATGGGCTCATCAAGGATAACCAAATGTATAAGGGAATGGCCAGAGCAAAGATCAGAGCTCGTATTTATGGTGTAAGGTATGGTGCGCAGTCCTTTGGTTATAAAAAAGTCTAGTAGGTCTGGGGATTTACGTTGTGAAGTCGGCCAATATGTCGGTGTATCAGGTGATATAGTGTCTAATGAAAGCTCGTGGATAGCAGCCCTCAGATTTCTTCCTCTTGGTGTGCACAGCCGTGACCCCCAAAATTGGTGCTTTGCGTTAAAGTCACCGCCTACTATAAAGCAACGCCCAAGGCTTCGAAAATAGTTGCAAAACATCGAAGGTGTTAATACGTACCTCGGAGGACAATATACTGAAGCTATTGTTATTGTGTGATGTTTGGTGTGTAGTGTTAAGCCTGTGGTTTGAATGTTAAGTGTAGTAGGTAAGTATAAGGGATTATGTGATAATGATGTCTTTATTAGTATTGCTGTACCACCATGAGCTGTGTTGTCCGGATGGTCTGTTCTGTAGGTATTGTAACCAGAAATATGAAATTTAGTTCGTGGTGTAAAGTGTGTTTCTGTTATCATTGCGATGTCAATGCGTTTTTCGTGTAAATATAAGTCCAATTCTGTCTTATGTTGCGTTAGTCCGTTTGCATTCCACAGAAGGATGGACAGGGAGCCTACAGTTAGCTGATTAATGGCCATTAGGAAGACACATGCCTTGTGTTATCAGTGAGAGCTGTTGGAGGAAACTAAAAAGGGGCTGAATGAGAGTATTCAGACCATTCAATAACTGGAATAGTTGTGGAGACATGCAGTTTTCAGCTGAAGGTAGCTGGGTACTATTTCCCCTCATGGTTGCTGAAGGTTCAATGTTTGGAGGTAATGATGATGGAGGCAGTTCCTGAGCTTGCGGTTGCGTTTGCTTCTGTATTGGCTTCTGCTGTTGCACTGGAGGTTGCTATTGGGGCTATTGATGATGCTTCTGCTTCCGCTTCTGCTCTTGATATGGGCTTTGCGAAGGTTGTGGAAGATCCGGGAAATTATGTAGATTTGCAGATGGAGGTGATTCCCTCTGGTGAGCATGATTCCTCTTGGTCCTCCTCTGTGCCCTTAGATCTCTAAGGGTTTGACACCCCCGATAATTGGCCGGATGTTAGCCTAGACAATTAGCGCATTTAGCTGGAGTTTCTCTAGTTTTGCTACAAGTGGAACTATCATGTCCTAGTCCACATCTGACAAACCGTGGTGCGTGGTTGCAATACGATCGTGTGTGACCGTATTGTTGGCATCTGACGCATTGCGGTATATGTTTCTTCCTTTTAAGTTCTTCAATTGTAACCTTTGTATAAAATAATTTAGTAATATCGAATATTTTCTCATTGAAAGTTTCCTTACTTACATCTACAAAAAAACATAGGTAGTGGCCGTTTAAAACGTGAGATAGCGTTGGTAATACCTACGATTTTGTATCCGTATATTTCAAGATCTTTTTTAATCTCTTCAATTGGTGTATTGTGATGAAGGTCTTTAATCACCACGCGATGATTTCTATCCTCAGGAAGCTGATAAGTATGAAATTCGGCTCCACTGTTTTTCAAGCAGTTAACTATTTGCCTGTAATTGTTTGGAGTCTGGGGGTAAATAGTTACTCCCTTAGAAGTAGTTTTTAGCAAAACGGAATCTGGTCCTGAATTGGATTGTAAATAAGACACAAGAGCCGCGTAGTTTTCGACACCGGTGATGTAGATTGGGTGTGGATTCTTAGTATTATTAGATGGTGGATTAGCAGAAGAAGTTTAACATTGGTCATTAGTACTAGATAGAACCTGGAAACTATTGCTAGTAGTTACCACTACTTCCTGTTTTTTCTGTTTCCTCGGATCCCTGTTTTCAGTAATGTTTCGTTTTCTTCCTGTTACCAGTTCCCATGCTCCTCTTTCGTTGCCTGCGCACGGAGCATTGTCGTAGCAGTCCATACGAGCCGCAGCTTGGGCTGCCTCGGCCTCCTTTGTAACAGCGGCTGATTCCGCCTCACTCATAGGTACTTCGAATCTAAGCTTCAATGTTTTAGTTCGCCTAGTTATTTAGGTAAAAATAACTCTTAATCCCGCAGTTATTTCCAAAATTTTTATAGACGAAAACAATTTTAACTTTTATAATTGGCAAGCACCATATGTTCCCCTTTTTTTAAAGTTTTCAATAAAGATATGTTTCCGCCCGGGATCGAACCGGGGGCCTTGTGCATGTGAAGCACACGTGATAACCACTACACTACGATATCTTGTAATAAAGAATCTAATTTATAATTTTAATCGAACTAGATTAAGGACCGAATATACCAGTATGAATCACCATAGATGTTTGTGATAAAAGCATTATCAATCGTTTAAAACGTTATAGAGAAAACTGTCAAGATATGAAATAATATTTTATTATTAAAATATGAGTGGAAAATATTATTATTAAACTCTATACAGACAATCAGCTTCTTTTCTCTTTTTTATGCATAGTTTTCTTATTGAAAACCCTAAATAAAACTTTTATTGACTTCCAAGCTATGATCACAACACCTAAAAACACAGCAATGATGAACAACATAACATCTATAAGGTGCAGCTGGATGAATGACAAACTGGTTGCAGTCGGCTTAAGGACGTCTGGATACTTGATGACGTGCTCAATCCAGAATACCGCTTCGTCAAGAGGTTCCACAGCCCTGTCACGGAAGATTTTAGATCTTCTTGCCATTTCTTCTTTGTACCTATACATTTTTTTAAGATTTAGAATTACGTTTTTTTTAATATTTATAAACTATGAAATGCTATAATGATGTAGAGATGATTGGCCGTTGATATAATATGAGAAGGGGTCAATTGGGGGGAGGGGTGCGGTCAAATAAATACTAAATTAAAATATAGTAATTATTTAATTTTTTGACGACGTTTCGAACAACTTTGCAAGTCCTCTTAAGGGCTATAAAAGATAAAAAAAAATTGAAAATAAAAAATAAATATAAGTAGATATAAAATAATAAGATGATATCTCACCCACTATATCTCTGATATCATCTTTTTATTTCTGTATCTGACCTTTATTCTGTATCTGAACTTCTTCTTATTTTATATCTATTTATATTTATTTATTATTTTCAACAGGTTTTGTATCTTTTGTAGCCCTGAAGACGACCTGCAAAGTGGGTCGAAACGTCGGCAAAAATTAAATAATTACTATATTTTAATTTAGTATTTATTTGACCGCATCCCCCCTCCCAATTAACTCCTTCTCATATGAAATGCTATGTTTGACGGATACTCAATGTTTTTAAATTAGACATAAAAAAACTAAAAAAGACAACAATAAATTTAGTTCCCCATAAATCATATATGGAAATTCCATTCAGTCCCTGTATATGTATAAATTATTTTTATTTTGTCTAAAAACAGAATAAATGATTTAAAACTAAAATTATCTGTCCATCACCTTGTACTACCTTATAACTGAGATATTACTTTTTCTAACACTATTAGCTTTCCAACGGTATATCGTACATCTATTTCGCTCGTTGGTTAGGGCAATCTAATGTTCTATGTTGGAATCCGGCTGATGGGATGTAAATATTTATTCTCTTTAATCGGCCATAGATTGAACCTGGTGTTGGGGGCGTGGTGGCCTAGGATCGCGTTGCCCGACAAACTTATGACCCAAGTTATATGATAAAATAATTATGAGTTATTATGAAGGCTTTTAACTCTCTGCATAAATCCCACAATCTCATCGCTGGTCCGAGAAAACCCCGCATAGCCTTAAAGTTGAGGAAGAAAAGTACAAAAAAAAAAAAAAAGGATTGACCCTGGTGTCCGGAGAAACCCTGGGGCACAGCCATCAACCACTTTAAAGTATGTAATTTCATTTAATTAATTAATAAGGGGAAAAGCCAGCGATTGAAAGTGATCGCGATAAAATCTTGAATAGTAATAAACTCAAGACCCGTCTTGGATTGTAGTAGTACGATACGATGGTACTATATTGATATATAAATATTCAATCATCATATACAGATATTCAACCTGAAAATATTTCTCAAATAATTTTCTTTAGTTAATTCCCATATTCTTTCATAATTCGTATTATTTTACTACTAAGAATGAGAGACGATTGATTATTTCAAATAAACAAAATTCAAGATACTTTTGATAAAGAAATTTGGAAAATTATGTATTTAAGCCCCGCAAAATTATTCCAATTAGATTAGACCTAACTGATATAAATGATCATTCAATTTTTTATCGCTATAACCATTTTAATAAAAAATGTTATGCCTTTTCAGATAAAATTGTAAACACGCGTAAAATAATTGATATAAAGTGGCACTTCCGATAAGCCGTTTTTAGCGAAAATATTTGTTTTCGAAAATATTTGAAACAGCTTCCTAGCAAAGAGAGTCTACAACGACGACCAAAAATATCTTATATCGACCAATATATGTCAGTTCAAATAATTGGAAAAGTATTTTTACTGGAAATTAAAAGACATATATTTTTTTTAATTTCCTTATTTCTAATTTTCATAGCAAAAATAAATTTAGCCTATTCATACTTTCAGTCGAAAAGAGTTAATCCCCTTTGTTGTTATTATTGTACTCCAGTCCAGTGACGCTGGAAGAGAAGTGCTGAGACCTGTAGCCGAGCTTTAACTCCACGTGTGGAAGACAAAGCCTGGCTCGGAGCCTTTTGGGTAAATGTAAATATTGTAAATATTTATGTGAATGAGCTTTAGAAGAATTTCGTTTAATAATTTTTATTTTATTAATTTTTTATTTTTCTTTAATTACCTTCATTTATTTATCTCACCAAGACGATCTTGCAATCTCAGTCTTGGTTATGGTCTTGGACTTGCGCAAGGGTCTCTCAACAGTCTTGCAGTTACTTGTGAGCTTATTACTATAAAGATATTACTGTAATTTTTGAGAAACCTAACTAAGCCCGAATGTAAAATAAGAGGAGTTAAATGCAAAAGTATATTGGTTATACCAATTCTTTACATATAGTAACTAAGATTGTCAAGTATTAGTAACTATTTTGCCTTAATTTTTATTCAAAAAATTTATTTTTTTTACCAGTCTTGGTCTCGCAGCAGTTAAGCGGCCTTGGTCTTGGTCTTGCAAAGTGCAAGACCAAGACCGATTTAGAACAACTTTAATAATAATATTGTACCAATTGGAATATTACCAACTGATTTTAAGAAGAAATGCGTCTATAGTTCATTTTCGATTATATAGATACCTGTATATCATATAATATATTGATGTACTTCTTACGTTTTATTTGACAGAATTTCCTTCACCATTCTTGATACATTATCGTAGTTTATTTCCGCAAGCCTGAGCATTTTCCCTATGCCGGCTTCTTCAGCGAAGCGGAAATTCTTTGCCTGGTCTCCGAAAAAGGGTAATCCTATCACTGGGACACCAAAGTGCACCGCTTCAAGAAGACTGAGGTAACCGCCATGGGTGATAAAGAGAACAGTGTTTTTGTGTGCTATAGACAAAATTAATAACAATGTGAATCAATGGTACCAATACAAGCAATTTTATATATAGGTGTATATATATATATATATATATATATATATATATATATATATATATATATATATATATATATATATAGTTGCAATCCTATTATTTAAAAAAGTAAACATGTTTTAAATCTATAACCATAATACCCAAAACATCTTGCTGCGGATACCATTTCTCCAAATGAACATTTTTCGGAAGTTGCCCCTCATATGTTGCCGATTCCCATTTCATAAGAATATTTTGAGGCAACGTTTTGAAGACCTTCATAAATGCATCGATAACTTTTCTATTTGCAGGGTGTGAAACATTTACGTTAGATCCGAGGGAGAAGTAAATGACACCGTTTACTGCTTCGTCCATTAATGTTTGCATTTTCTATAGAAACAAAAAGAGCGCTATTAAAATATTTAACGATATGCATTTATACTTAGACATAAATATTAAAAATATATATAGGTATGGACACCAGCATATTTAAAACTGCATTGGATTTTTTGGAAGAGATAGCAAATATCACTTACAATTTTTCCTTAAAACGATCTACGCATATTTCTTTATTTTTTCTTTTTTTTTTTTTTTTTTATAGGTGTTATACAACCGACCATTGTTGTTTTGATCCTTCAGACTTTCAACCTTTTCGGTCAGTTTTTTTTTTTTTTTTTTTATAACGATTTTGTTATATACCATATATTTCTGTTATATCTATAACAGCTTTCACAAGGAGAATATTTGTACATTGAATTCTTAAAAATATTAGAAAATAAGGTGCAGTTTTTCAATATGTACTTATGTTTTTAAACTTCCGTTTAAGCCTATAAATTTTCAAAATTTCGCTATTAAATATATCTATAACTGTTTTCTACTTACATTTTATTAAAAGATGTAAAAGGTACATCTTCAGTTCTAATGGGTTATTTTCATTGTTACAAAATTCAAAGAACCCATTATGTAAATAATAGCATGAAACAATGAACTTTAATTGGCCCATGGGATCAAGATCAAATACAATTCTATGGATTGGCTTGGTTCTTAAATAGGTTTGACCTTGACAAATCGAAACAATTGTAGTCATGGGTTTTGAGATAAATGACACAATTAGTATGTTGAACGATATATTATTATTACAGAGTGTATAATTTAAAGTGTTTAATTAGCGATGATTGAAGGGAAATGAGATAATCGGTATAAAACGACATTTTTTATGTATTTGAAGAAACTTTATGTAACTCCTATGCAAACAATTTTTTTTGCAATGTTTTTTTCCCTATTAACAATATTATAACAAGTTGCCACATTTTCCATTTATGCTTATCCTTGATTAAAAAGGGTGGTAAACGAAACTCGAATAACTAAGACTACAACCAAGAGAAAAACCTCCTAGTAAAGTTCACTTAAAAATCTTATGATGTAATAGTAATCACATAATAATATGATATGCAGTAGATAAGATAACGCATGCAATCTTTAATCAACCTTAATAGGCCAATACCACCGAAGATTTTTCATTCTGAAAAACTTGGGAAGATGCCAGAAGCTTGGGAAGCGAAATCTGGAAAAATGGTGGCGAAAACTAACTCATACAGATATCTTTATGTTTTTACGTTTTACTATTGAAAATTTCGGTACTTCTTCACTAGCAGGCCGGGACTGACTGCTATCTGCCAATATTTATAACCTGAACACTGATAATTCTGATAAGGCAGTGGTAAGCCTTCTCGTAATTCTTATCTTCGTGTTATTGTATTATATTCGTATTATTGAAAGTGTAAACTGAAACAAAAACAAATGTAATAACAAAAAAAAACTTTTATTTTCGACACATATATTAATGAAGTAATATAAGAAGAGGGATGTTATGTGACGTAACGTTAGACAACTTAGATATGAAGTGAGGTTTCGACCCGGCCTGCTAGTGAAGTAGTACCAACATTTCTAAATTAAAAGCAACGTCCCAAACACACAGATATATATATATATATATATATATATATATATATATATATATATATATATATATATATATATATATATATATATATATATATATTCTTTATACATTACGGAATATATTCGTATTTCGATTCTTAAAAAGGAGTCGACGTCGGATAAATAACTACCGAAGAATCTCACTCCTTCCGGTGTGTTATATAATCTTCACTCTAATCTTTACCAACAGAATCACGAAATAAATATACAGCTCATCGAAAATTATCGAAGACTGTCAAAGCGGATTTACACTGAACCGTTCAACTATTGATCAAATGTTTTCCTTACGGCAAAATATTAAAAATTATAGTACGACGATGTTCTCCACCAGCTGTATATTGATTTCACAAAGGCTTACAACTCCATTGACCACCAGAAGCTGTAAAATATTCTAACCGAGCAAGGGATTCCAAAAAAAAAAGTAAATCTAGTTAAGATGTGCATCAAGGAAATGATCAGTAAAGTTAGAATCGGTGATTATTTATCCAAAAAGTTTGAGGTTCATTCGGGTCGATAACAAGGTGATTCGACAACAAGGCTATAACAAGTTTTTCGATAACACGAAAAAATACTACAACGTTAATGAAAGTCGGTAAAGATGGGGCTCGAAATAAACACAGATAAGATAAAATATATGGCCATCTGCAAAAATGGCGATAATGCCGGTGATGTTCATATAAAAAAAAACAAATTTGACCACGTAGAGAAGATAAGGTATCTAGGGTCTACGATAACTAGAAAAAACGAAATTGAAAAGAAGATTAATGTTATGCTGAAGGCAGGAAATGCTTGTTATTTTTCTAAGACTAAACCACTTATCTCGCGCCTCATGGACCGTAACTTTAAAACTAGAATCTATAAAACCATTATCCTACCTATAGATCTTTATGGATGCGAAACGTAGCCCTTTACATTAAGATATGAGTAACGTTTGAAGGTTGTTGAAAATAAAGTATTGTGTAGAATATTCGGACCGAAGAAGCATGAGTTAACCGTAGAGTTCAGACGATTACACAACGCCGAATTTCGTGAAATGTATCCGGTTAATATAATTGAGGTGATTACTTCGCGGTCGAATTCAATGTTCTTGTGAAATTGTTTGACTTAGTAACAAAAGAATATTTTAAAGTTTAATCTTTGCTGTGCTGACTGGCAAACGTCCGAGGGGTAGATAGAAGCGAAGATGAGAAGATTGGGTTAAGACCGATCTGAATAGACTGAGTTTGGACGGCGAACGATTGAGGGATGTTTGTAACTGGTGGTGTCGTCATCGATTCATCGGATTTATATATATATATATATATATATATATGTGTGTGTGTGTGTGTGTGTGTGTGTGTGTGTGTGTGTGTGTGTGTGTGTGTGTGTTAAAAAAGTTCAACAGCATCAAAAACGTAATCAGTGCATTTATACAATAAACTGACGTTTATACTATTATATAACTGGGATGTACAGAAAAAAAAAATCAAGGCCGAAAAATCATCATGTAAATTTTTAGAAAATTAAATTAGTGAATAATTTGTTGAATTTTCCTTTTTTTGATATCCCTACACTATCCGCTTACTATTATTTTGAGAACTTCTGGTCTATCTATCACAGCCAATGCAAATCTCGTAATTCCAGTAAACTTTGAAATGAAAAATAACGAATAGTTTAATAACTAATAGTCGTACAATCCATAATCAACGGATCGTACTATTCATAATCAATCGTTGATATAACAAATAGGATATTTTGTCATTTTATTGGCAATAATTATTTGTTTGTTGTTATTTTTAACCTTCAGTTCGGTTAATTATGCAAATAGAAAATTGTATAATAGCCCAACATTACCAAAAAATAATTTCTATTCAAATTAGAGAGGTAAGTGGAAGTTGTGTGATGCGCTCATCAGATCTCTTGAAATATGGTTTATTCCAAAACAAAAATAGTTAAGAAATTAAAAATGGTAAAGGTACTCTTGGACCATTTCATATGGATTGACCCTTGGTTAAGTCATAATAATATACGATACCTTGGGTAGAGGTTTCCTAGGTGTGATAGTAACACCAGCAACGTCCTTCCTATGGGGTGGCTTCGGCACAGGGTAACCCACGACATTGTGGTAATTCACCAAGATGAGACTTCGGTTAGACAAAAGTTGCATGAAAGGAGGCCTGCTCTCGTGCCCCGTGTAGTTGAAATACTGGTCGACAAATCTTTCCATTTCGCTCATGTAGTAGTAACCACCAATAGTGGTCACCGCATACACGTACATGTTGTACACTCTCTGCCAGAAGTTCATATTTTGGGTCAACTCTGATTTGAAGTCTACTTGGTAGGCAGGGTTGTCTGGCAGTCCAGCCAGTTCGTTCATCCATCCGGAGTCACCTATAAGAAAATATAGTTTAAAGTAAATTTATATATCGCTATGGCTTTACTGGTTTATATGTATCGGGATGAGTATATAACAGTGAAATGACTGTGAGTGAGGCCAAGCGAAGTTTGCATATCATAATTGGGTTCATAAAATGATATGCACCCTTGAGTGGCCGAAAAGAATAAATCGCATTCAATCCGTAATTAAATTTAATAGACATGGAGCTAGAAGTGTGTTTTATTACCTCCTAAGCAGCAGAAGATTTGACTAGCGAATATGTTTTTTTTTTTTTTTTTTGTCTATAAAATATGTATTTGCGCCTGTCAACAATATGTTTACAATCAGCAAATGTGATGGCGATAACGATATAATGACATGTCAGGCATGGGGAAGGAAAGTACTCAGCAGTACCTCTTCCCTAACTTGTTCCAATTACTTAGGTTGTCTAATGAAGGAGATCCCTCATCCAACGCCTTTTTAGTCTCCTACTCTTGTTCTGAGGTATGTCAGCTGTGGCCATGTCTCTTATAAGACTGTTATTATGTCCATTTAAATTTCTGTAAAATCGTTGGTATAGGGTCGTTATATGTTGGTCAACTGTTGGAAAGTGGAGGTCAGTATGTAGAGTTTTGTTAGTCACGTACCAAGGTGCTTTTGTTATGAGTTGCAATAATTTTGAATGGAACGTTTAAAGTTTTTGTAGGTGGGTCTTTTTAGCGATGCCGTATATTTGTGATGAGTATGTCCATATGGGCTTCAGTAAGTATGTATATGTATTCAGTTTCTGTTTTAGTTTTAGTTTTGAAGATTTGGCAAAAAGAGAGTAATGTAGTTTGAGTCGTTTGTTAAGTGTCGAAGGTGAGCCCAAGATAAAGTACCGTGTCCGTTTGAGGAATTTGATTGTTGTCAATATAAACTGGAGGACATGTGTTGTTTCGAAGAGTAAATGTTATATGTTTGGATTTAACGTGATTAAGTCGACTTTTTCATAGTGTGTGTGCGAATATGTTAAATCTCATAATTTATTTGGGAGAAAAATATCTGTCTATCAATGCCATTGAATATATTTGGGTTATACTTATTTTAAAATTCTATTAAAATAACCTCATAATTACTGCACGATTGGAATTTTATATCAAACTTGAAACTTTCCAAAAGGTTTTTACATAAAAAATCTGTTGCGGTGTGCGCGTCACACATATTTCACTTACCACTATATTTGATCAGAAATAATTATTTTTCGACAAAGGTATGTGAAAGCAAAAATTATTGACGGTAGGAAACATTATTTAAAATAATTAATTATCATAGAGGCGATAAAATAATTATTGCATATTATATCATAAAAGCCTCTAATTTATAAAAATGTCTGACACTTTTACACTATTTCCTTTTATTACTGTATATTTCATAAGTATCCACACATTTCAGAAGTACTGGCAATCGGCATCTGCTGTCGGGAAGAATACTAGTAATAGCATTGGTCAGCGTAAGAAAGAAGAGTGTCCTACGTCATCTCTTCATGTCTTGACTTTAGTATATTTTTTGAGAGAAGAGATCTTCCATCTAGCTTCTTTTGAGCCTCCTAAACTTGTTTTCGGGTATGATAATCGTAGCTATACCTTGTACGAGTGTTTCAGAATATCCATGTAAGTTTTCTTAAAATCGTTTGTAGTATGTTTTCGTTGACTTTAGGTGTTTATGTAATGGACTTGTGAAAGTCTGTTATGTGAAGATGTTTATGTAAATCGTATAAATTTATGTAAATAAATAACTTGAAATTACAATATTTTGCTTAGTTAAGAAATAAATATTTTGTTTTTCATATCTTTTTAAAAATTATTTATTAAGTATTATCACAATCTATATCTTGGACATTAGTTATAGTAAGGTAGGATAACATTCACACTATATGTACAAAAAATATAAAATAAATAGAAGCAAAATAATAATCAAAAGTATATACAATAAATAATAAAATAAAATAACCTTTAAAAAATATAAAAATTAAAACTAAGCAAAAATACATTCATAATACAATCTGGCGAGGGAATTCCAGGAGAACCCTGCGCTACTTTCTCAACCGCATCGCTGGTACTAAAGCCAGCGGAGATAGATAACTAAGATCCTTTACAATTTATTTTTAAATAAACCATATTGAAAGAAAAATATTCAGAAAAGAAACAACTTAAAAATGGGACATAAAAACGAAATGAAACAGCATTTGGAACTCAATGAATTGATGAAGCTTGGGTGAAAATAATCTAAGGGATCTTCATCAGGTGAAATATATTAGGATTGTTTCGGTTTATTTAGCATTTTTATAGACAAGAAAAAAAAAATAGATGATGTAATTATATCTTTGGTATTGTTCAGCTTGTTTAGCAACATTTCATATAAAATGATACATTCGAATGCATAGTGATTATCATAGTTGACATATTTGTTGAGTGTTGATGAAAACTGGACGGTATGCCATGCAACTCGGAGTATGAGGAACCCTCAGTCAACTAGGAAATCGGTATTGCAAGTATTCGTAATATTGACTGTATCATATAAGCTGTATGTAACTGATTTGCATATCGTGCGGATTCCACTATCATAAAATAGATATGGGGCTAATTCGAATGTCGAATGATTTGAATTTTAGTATCCACAGAAAAGGAATTCTTCGGAAAACTGAGCCTCGATTCACTGTTCATCATTTGAGAACAATGGACAGTTCATAAAGGCATGACCATACTTTCCCGCAAAGAATAATGTAATTTATTATTATTTTTTTTAGTTGACCACGTTTATATAGAAATGTTACATTCTAACATTTTTAATGTAATTATTTTGCGTAAGACCATATATAACAAAACTAAAAACAAAAACTTCGATCACTCGATCCAATTTATCGCTTCTGGATATTACTATACCTTCAATAGAATAAATTGGTTGATAAAAAATAATTCCTTGAGTTAGATTAAGTGATTTTCAGGACAGAAATCGAAAGGCTACAAACTAGCCAAAGAGCATAAAATCAGCGATATGGTAACTTATTGATTTTTATAGGAATAAGCAATTAAAAATAAAATGTACTCGCTATAAATGAAAAATGAGATGCTCAACAGATTTAGTAGCTAGAAAAACTAATGTTGGCATTCCAATCGACACATTTTAGGATATAAATCTTTTTTTTTAGCTTTAAAAATCTTGAACATCAAAAATGTTCGTTAATTATTAGATGGTGTCCTTAATTCTGGCAGATTGTTATATCACTCAATAAATGTGTTTTACTTTAATTATTAGATTGAGGTTACAGTCTGATTTAAATACTGTATTCAACATTAATAAAAATCTAAAAGTGAGAAGCAATATTCATGAAGAATTTTGACTGCAAAGATTATACTATGTGACAGTGCAGTTAACTGAATTCATGCAATGATGCTCTATGCAGTGATAGTCACACAATCAATACATTAAAGCTTTGACATACATTATCAGAAAAATTATCTATAAATTTTTTTTTTTAAGTTGATAGATAGACTTCAACCACAAAATATCTTATTGAGAACAAATCAGACATTGATGAATATAACTCGAATCGCTTTTGTACCTCAATGTTGTTTTGATTTTTTATAAGTTGACCATTATATAACGCTGCCAGACAACATCAAAGGGACGCCTACAAATTTGCTTTTAATTTTTGTTAATTAAAACAATAAATATTTCTCTGGTACCAGAATGTAATTAGTGTAATCTTTTATCAAAAGTATTCATTGATCAATTCCTGGGATTGAAAAATTACTGAAACATATTTTTCGTACTCTTTTTCTGAGTTGTACATTACTTTAAAAAAAAGATACACGCATTTTACAATCTTTAAATCTTACTGTAGGCAAAACCTTTTGCTTGTGAAGTAATTACGGCAATAATTAGCTAAACACATTGAGATGGAAAACCGAAGGAAATTCACCGAAGAGGAATCAATTCATGTCCTTACTTTAACAGAAGCAGGTTTTTCACCGGCCGCGATTTCCATTGCTAGTATTAGTTATAATGAGGCTGTAGTGCATAGCATAAAATGGGGACAGGTCATACAACGACAAGTTCGGAACGACAGATTTGTACAAATTCATGCTCTTTAAGATCACCATTTTTCATGAAACAGCTTGTGTTACCTCCTCTTGCGGATCAGGAGAGTACTTCAGTAGAGTATTTCAGAGCAAACAGTGAGCAGAAGACTTAGCGACTATGGAATGACGTTCCGTTCTCCAGCAACTGGACCTCTATGTCCAGGAAGTAAACCGGACTCGGGAAGACTAGATCTGTGTATTGATCTGTGACAAGGCCATATCCAGCCTGAAGTACTCAGAAAGAATATGCAGGAGGCGGGGAGAGAGGTACCCTCCTTGTAAATTTTCTCCAAGGGTTGCTTTTGAAGAAGGCTCAGTAGTGGTTTAAGGAGGCATAAATTTAAACTCCACAACGAAGTTGGTTCTTGCAGATTCCTTCAAAAGCTTTGAGGTACTTCTGTAGAAAGATTTTAAAACTGCATGTGATATCTTCTGCCAGAAATATAGAGGGTGAATTCATTTTAATGTCTGACAATTCCCGACCTCGTGTTACTCGTCCGTGGAAAAATGACATCCAGTAAGAAGAAATGGATGGCTTTCTGACTCAAAAGTTTGGACGTGAATCCAACAGATCAAGTTTAGGTTATTCTTGGGAGACATGTACGCAATCAAGACTCAATGTTTGGCTGATTTAAGAAGAGTTTTAGTCAAAGAATTGAACAATATCGCAAAGGAACTTGTTTGGTGGAATTAATCAATAATGCTGGGCGTGATCTGGCCAAGAGAGGGAAACTCTTCCTACTGATTTTATACAATAGTTTATATTTTTACATAGAGTGAAATTTACCAAAAAAAAAAAATTAACTGTTTTCTTTCTTTATTTCCTCTTTTAATAAAATATTCTATTTTACAAAAAAAATTCTTTTAAAAAATATCTATTAAAATTCTGTAAAGTTATAATATTAAAGTGATTCTTTAATTTTGTCCGGTAGTGTATTTTATTCTAATCAAATTATACACAACTCTATATTTAGTAATTGTTCCAATTAAGATTATTATAAACAAGCCATTTCTTACCTAAGGAAACAATGTCGATTCCTACAGCGTTGAACTTGTGTATAAACGCAGATATGTATTCCTGAATAAAGTAAGATTCAGACAATACAGCATCAAACTTCTCATCTGAGTGTATCAGTTTCTGAACCTTCGGACTTTCCAAAATAAATGGTGTTAACACAAAAGAGAATCCGTAAAGGGTTTGTAAATCCTTGATGATACTAGAGTAGACTAAATCCATCAAGTTTATGGTAGCTATTACAAACATAATAAAGTCAGTTAATTTGGTTTTATTTAATAGCTTTCAATTAGTTCAGGCTTGAGTTAAGAGTTATCATACAGTGGTAGTCAGGCAGTTCCTTGGATAAATCCACCTGTTGGATTCCTTTCGGAACCGTTCCTTCATAAGGGTACCCCGTGTAATAGACCACCTCGTGGCCTCTGTTTCCTAGAGCAGCCATGACAGGCCTGAAGACATAGTGGTGCGATTTAGTCGCAAGCGGGAAGAAGGCCAAAATCCTAGCTGCATCAGAGTAACCCACCATGAGCAAAGGTAGCATCCACAACTTCATTGCTTCGGATATTCAGAAAGTTCTAGCTCAAAGAAATGTATCGTAAGTTAAAAATAATATCTCATTTGAAACATAGAAAGTAAATATTGACAATATTAACAATTTAAGAGAGTTCGTCTAGTAAAATAGATTCCAATATGAACTATTTAGTCCATTAACTAAAATACATTATTATGTTAACAATCAATCAACAAATTTTTGGACCCATATTTTATTCCAAAATATCCAAAGAAATAAAAATTTATTTATCAATGTTAAAAACATGTCTTAACACCTATTATTATTATTACCACCTAACTAAATTTTCTAAATTTAACGATCAATATCTTCTAGTTTTACAAAATTGGTTTTCGTTTTTTTCGAATTACTAAAAAACAAATACATTAATTTTTCAATATATGGTATTTATGCTATGGTATTTTGCTTTATTGAATGTTAAAAGTTTATACAAAAGTGCAGCGAAATTGCCGATTTTGTTTCCTTCTCAATAAAGGTGGTGCACAATATGTACAAAGCATGGTATATAATAGTAAGGTATATAATAAATAAATAAATATAATAAAATGCATAATAAAAAAAATTGAAAATAGTGCAGATCCGCGTAGTTAAATGGTTATCTGTATATGTTTATAAAATAAGTTGAACAGAAATCAATCAAGAATTTTTAAGTTCAAAATAGTTTTTTAAATAATATTTAAATAAATGTTCCCGAAAAAGGATTTATTAAAATGTAAAAAAGAAAAGAGCATTATAAATAAATAAAAAAAATATATATATATTGTTAATAATTTTTGTCATTACTAATATCTACATAATAACAAAAGATTTTTTATCCTGGTTTTAGAAAGAAAAATAACCACCAATAAACATCTTGACGACAAAAAAAAAAAAAAAAATTCTGTCTAAATAGAAGATATTGACAAAAAGTTTTATTCAAACTTAGACTGATGTTAATAATATGTATTAAGAAATGCTCAAAAATTGCTAGGAAGACGAAATGTTACAAAAATATATGTGATATAAACAAATAAAAGTTTTTTAATATTGAGAAATTTTTAAAAATGTATTTTGGGATGAAAGATACGTCCAAAAATTTTGTTAATTAACTTTTCATTATTAGTAGAATTGTATTCCATCTTTATATATTATGTAATATATACATATAAAAAAAAAAAAAAGAGTAATGGTTTTTAAGGTCAAAATAATAAAAAGATTCTAATAGTCACATTGTATCTTCTATCCTTAATTATATTAAATTAAATAACAAATTACTTTGATAAATTTTTCTTTGTGAATTTATAACATTGCGCACTTACTATAATATTGGGTAAGTCACAGTTAATAGACATTTAGGAACCAAGAAACCAAATTGTTACTAAATTTAAAAAATAAATGTATATATTTTTTTCATTTGCAATGCCCAGATTTCTAGATTAATATATACAATTCGATCTAATTTTTTATGCAAAAAAAAAGATAAAGAGGTATTAAATTAGCTATAACGTATCATAAGTTACAAAATAATAAGATTTTTTGTTGATACTTCTAGTAAAGTAAGGTCTAGAGCATTTTTTTTTTTTTTAAACGAAAATACAAGTCAGGTTCGTTGCTGTTTATTTAAACATAGTAATCAATTAAAATCATTACAATTGGATTGATTGGTTTGATTGATTTACCTCTTTTAGGCTTGCGTATCCCAAATTCACTGAAGATCCAGACAACTACTACATGAAAGCGAAAAATCACTAAACGGCTAGCTGATCCCCTTCCATTGTTACAGCCTTGAATCTTATTTATTTTGTTGAGTGATATGTAATAGCATTAGATTGGCAACGCATATATCATGTTTTTTTATTAAATACGATTTCATTTGATATCAAATTATTTGAAGAATAATCATTGATTTTAATATGGTTATTTTTATGAAAACAAAAACTTTTGCATCAATCGCAAGTGTTTAGTATAAATAACATTGACGTAAATATCGAACTTCTTATATTATTATTTTTTTTATTTATAATATTCTTTATTGAGATATATTACAACCTGTCACATTGAAGGACAATAGTAATAGTGACATAGAGTAGGTCATTCATACCATGCACAATAAATAAAAATAATAAACATCAAAATAATAATGAGTAAATGATTATTAGTTTTATCATTGTAAAAATCTCTGTAAATTTGTGAACTGTTCCTATTGTTCGAATGTATATATTTGTATGGATATAAATAATACTTATACACATATATATTTTCTGGTAAAACGAAAGATTTGTATTCGTACAGGAAGTTAAAAGTCAAATCTATGTGACGGACAGATCATCTACAAGGGCTAATCAGATTTTTGGATGCTACAGAGATAGTCCCAAATTAATTTTAACTAATTCTTTCTGCTACTTCCACATGTATTTGCGTAAATGTAATATGATGTATTTAAAAAACGGTAAATTGGATCTATCCCTATATTTGGGAGGGATTCGTAGAATAATGTACAACTGGTATGGTGTCAATTTTATCAATTTGCATTTCACGTTTAAAATTAATTCATATTTTTGTTTTTTGTAAAGTAAACTCTTCATTTTTTAACATAAATTATTCTTTTAATAGAATTCCATCGGCGACGTTTTTTTTTTTGTTTTTTTTTTTTGAGCTTCTGACCAATCTCAGGACGCTTTTTCTATTCGAAAACAATTACAATCACCATAAAAAAATATCTATTACACTTATCATTATAAATATTTTATAGAAACCATTATATACACATTCATTTACTCTTATAGCTGTACTTTTCTTATTATAAAGTTCCAACTTTATTGTTATTTGGTATCCATCATTTATTCTTTTATTTCATCTTTTACTTAAAACTTACTAGATATGCATTATTCATCGAGTGTTAATCTGTATAATTCCAATTTTCACACTGCACCTATTTGTCCAAGATTGGTCATAGATTTAATTGCATTATATATTTAATATTACGTTTTGGGATATTTAGTCTCATCTTCAGAACCATAATTCCAATGATCTTGTGGATAGATGTCTTAAATCTCATATGCTCCATCGCCAGTTTCTATTTCATGTTACAATAAATCTAGGTATATAACATCTAGAGCAACATCTTGCTTTTAGACTAATTATTATCGCCAGACACCTAATAATTAGTCTAAAAGGAAGATGTTGCTCTAGATGTTATATACCTAGATTTATTGTAACATGAAATAGAAACTGACTATGGAGCATATTAGATTTAAGACATGTATCCACAAGATCATTGGAATTATGGTTCTGAAGATGGGAGTAAATATCCCGAAACGTAAACTTGTAAACATGCAATTTTGATAATACAACAAATAAATTCAATTGTTGTTAATTGGAAGTAATCATTGCCAAATCACAAAGTCGTTTAACTGTTTATTTAATCTAATTAAACATAAATGCATCAAAATCAACACAAACGTTAATATGTGTCAAAAGTAGTCACACTTAAGGGATTTTCACAAGACATATATGTCGTAAGTGACATACAACTTTAATCTTAAGATAACTTAAGAGAAAAAGACCTTAATCGAAGAGATAAGAGGATGAAATATAACCATAAAATTTATTGGGGTGCGATCATATAAATGCTATATTATAAGAATAGTATTTTATTCAGAATTATATTATAAGAATGCTATATTTATTCCGAATAATGAACTTATTCAGAATATTACATTATAAGAATAAAATAATATTCTTATAATATAATATTTATATGACCACAGTTCCCGACCATCTCCTTCTCATATTATAATCACGGCCAACCATCTCTAAACCAATAATTGTTATTGCTTCGAGGAATATATTTTTTACTACACGAGCTTTCGGCCTTTCCCAGTCGAAAGTTTATACGTCGAATTAGGAGAACCAATAAATAAACAAATAAAACTATTTATATTTGTAAAACAATAAAATATATACATAAGGTAAAACAATATATTTACATAGAATACTGTAAATTAAAACATTGTACATTTAAAACTATCATATAGAATGACCTCCAAATGATCAACGATTACCAGTCTCTTAAGATATAATAACAAGTTAATGATAACACTGTCTACCTTCCTCCGAATGACAAATGATAAGCCATGAGCCAACATAAACGTTACAAACAATTTCGTTTTATCATTTAAAGATAAAAATAAAGATTTACAAAATAGTTGACCAATAAAATTAATACTTTACGGTCGTGAAAATAATTCTCTAGTTTATTAATTAGGCGATTTATTATTCGCTTTAAATGTTAAAATTTTCAATATTAATATTACATTTTACATGCTTTGCAGAATATCTTATGGAATTTTATAGATCAGAAGTTTAATATTCAATTTGATGATCAATTATTTAATGAATCTATAGCAATTTTTTTCTATTATTCCTCAAAAACAGTAGAATAAAGAACATATTAAAAATCATCGATTGACAGTCATAAAAACTCTAAAATATCACACTTGAGGATTTATTCATTCACCTCAATTCAAGATCTATTAAGAACTTTTTTTTTCTCATGGTCATTGATTAGTTCATATAACAATAATCTATAAAAGCTATCAGCTACTTTTCACTTTTTTAGGCGTATATTTCCCTTTCAACATCCTCATTAAAATCGAAATTGTCTTCCAAGCTACGATCACAACAGCTAAGAAAGCACCGATGATGAACAACATAACATCTATCAGGTGCAGCTGGATGAATGACAAGCTGGTTGCTTTCGGCTTAAGAACGTCTGGATACTTGATGACGTGCTCAATCCAGAATACCGCCTCATCAAGAGGTTCCACAGCCCTGTCTCGGAAGATCTTAGACCTTCTTGTCATTTCTTCTTGGTACCTATGCAAATTCTTATGCATTAGAATCATATTTTGTTATTTTTTTTTTTTTTTATGGCAGAACATTTATTTATGTTACAGTAGAAATCTATAAATTCACTTTTTTCAATTATACGATGTCATTTAATAATGCTTACTTTCATATAGCCAAAATAGGTGAACACTACATTGCGTTTGAATTAATAAACACAAAAAATAAGTTATAATATCGGTTTAATATTTAATAACTATATCTTGTTTAACAGAGATTTTAAATAATAAGATAATAATATAATAAATAAATAATAAGTTAATAATAATAAATAAAAGAACTATCCCTATCAGGAAATGGAATTATATTCTCTAGGAGAGACTGGGTATGGTTGTGAAACTGTAAGGCATTGCCGGTAGGTTTATTAGGAATAAAGGAATGTTGTGCCTGTCTGATCGTATTTAAAAGTATTGCTAACGCATCGCGCGACATTAAAGCTAGTAGAAGCCTTCATTACTTTTTAACAGATAAAATTAACTATTTTTATTCTATTTCTTTGAATACTTGTTGTTAAGCATATACAGATAAAGTAATAAATGTTTTTCCTCGTTATATGTTAAACATTGGTTGTTAACTATCAGTTACTTTGTACATAGATTATATTGTAAACGCCGAAACAATTTTTTTTTTTCGAATTCTTTAGATAGAGAAGGCAGAAGACTAATTGGGCGGTAAAAATCAGGACGGTCTATAGGCTTATTGGGTTTGTGAATCAAATTTATGATTTAATATTTTAATAAAATCGGAAAATGTATCATTCTAAGAATAAAATTAAATAGAATTGTTAAGAATATAATATGGTAAATTGGTAAACCGAAAACCATTTTTGGTAAATTCTTTGGAATATAGTTAGTTATGAGATTGTACCTTGGAGATTTTCGATTATATGAACTGTTTATAATACTGCTAATCTCATTTAGATGAAAAGGTTTCGGCAGAGGGATCACATCTAAAGGAATATTTAATTGATGTTCTACCAATTTTCCACTGAGCGAATCTTGCAAATCACTGTGAGGGGTAAATATATTTTCTAAGTGGCATGCGAATAATTCTTCTTTCTGAGCGTCTGACTTTGCCCACGAGCCATCAGGATATCGAATTCGATGCAATGTCTATTGATGATTCAACAAGCGTTTTGTCATTTGCCAAATAGACGTCTTGTTATTATCCAAGCTATTAAGTTTTTTATTTTACAGGGTATTAAAATCCCCTATTAAATATAATAATTACTAGGTGGCCCGTGCGGAAAATTCGCAGAAAATTTTGTTTAGTGAAGAAACAGTAAAACAATATGGAAATAAGTAGTTCCTATGTATTATGTAAGAAAGGAATTAATATTTTTCCCTTGGTCGATTACAATATTCCATTATACATAGTAGATCATAAGCATCTTTTTCAATATACGTTTTTATAAAACATTTATTTAGAAGTTCCATTCGAGCAATTCATTTCACCACGAAGTAAATCTAGAAAAAGGTAATTGGAAACTACATTTTTAGCTACTAAAAAAAATAAAATAAAATACCATTTCATACCTCTACGATTCTTTAAATACGATTGTTTTTCTCCCCTCAATATTTTACGAAGCATGTTTTAAGAACTCAAATAAATAATAATTATACGTTAATACTAAATATAATTCTTTATTGCATTTAATTTAATCGATACTTCTATGGTAAAACATTTATTTCAAAAGAGTTCATTAGAAAATTTTAAAATGGGACTTTTTTATTAAGTTTCAAATCCTAGCTTAAAAATGTTAACAAATAAAACACATTTTCTTCTTAAGTAAGAAGTAAAGTAAGATAACTGACTGAACTTAAAGCTAATAAGCATGTTAAGGGTTTTAATTTCTGGATGTCTTTTTGTTTATTCATTTTTAGTATATTTTGATCAACTATTGATTTTATAATTCCTACATAAAACTAGTAGCAACGTTATAGCTAGTCACCGAAAATTCTCTAACTATACTTGGAAAATTTACATTACATATTTGAAGGACTTCATTCCCTCGTATGAACAAAGAGCTTTCCGATTAAATATATTATATTTACAATACATTGAAGCTTCACTTACGTTTTATTCGATAGAACTTCTTTCAGTATTCTTGATACATTGTCGTAGTTTACTTCGGTTAACCTTAACATTTTTCCCAGATCCGCTTCTTCAGCGAAGCGGCAATTCTTTGTTTGGTCTACAAAGAAGGGCATGCATATTAAGGGAACGCCGAAGTGCACAGCCTCTACAAGACTCAAGTAGCCACCGTGGGTGATGAAGAGAACGGTGTTATTGTGCGCTGGAACATTTAATTATTAAATATTTAATTAATAATATTTACAAAACTTCGATAGTAATATTATACATTACACTTGTATTTGTATCATTATAGTATTGTTTATCCATACATCAACTGAGGTAGAAAGATAGAGACCTCAATATGAAATTTCTTTGATCATATAGATTATAACCTCGCGCGGGCTCATTACCGCGTATGGGGAGCGTCCCACGGGTGGCGGATGTGGGGATGGTCGATGGAAATTCCTTGGAAGTTCCTCCCGGCAAAGTCCGATGGACTCGCTGACCAACAATGAGAGGGGCCCTCCAGACTTGCTGGAGGGAGGGGACCTCCAGACTTGCTGGAGGTATTGGCCCACCAGACTTGCTGGAGGGTGTGACTTAGGATTGAACGCCCTACTCACATATCTTTAGTTCACGAAACACCACAAATAGTCATGGATCTCCCCAAGGTAAAACGCTCATTATCCGGAAGTAAACTAGTCCCTCGTTCGGGTCTCCGGGTGGGGACTGCTTTAGGGGATTCATGGCGCAAGTTGAAATATCGATCGGTGGTGTCGGCATCGAACCTTCGGGTTCGCTAAGCCTTTTTATTTATTATTATTTATATAGATTATAAAATTTAAAGAAATATTAGTATACATTATGAGTTCGGATTGTTTCTTCTTTTTTGCATTGTAAATGAAAGAAAAGTTATAAAGAAATTGTATTCCCAGACTTTGTTTTCTGTTTTAATTTTTGTTAAAAAGGCTGGATCGATTTCTACTTTGATGACTCAAATTTTTCGGTGATATCACCGATTGTTATGAATCAATTTAACCTGATACAGTATCCCGTGATTGAACAAAATGTGGTAAGAGATCTTCAACGAATTTTCGAATGAACTGCTGGATCGATTTTTGAGTTTGATTTGCTCAAATTTTTCGGTGCAAAATGAATAGAAATTCCCAAGAAATTAAAGTTTCAATTTAGTTTCGGATAATCATTACAATCTTTTATTTATGTTAAAATATCAAAAGTATGGAAGATGCATTTTTATAATACAGCTGTAAATACCATGAAAAATAAAATAAAAGAAGTACCCTTTTGTACCTTAAAATAGTTTTAGTTTGACTAACTGCAAGACTCAAGAGTCAAGAGAAAGGTTTCATGTTCTTGCTTAAATCTTGCAAGGTCCAGTTTTTTTCTTGCGAAAGTGCTGGACCAAGACCTATTTTGGGCTACACTAATCTGAATATTTATTTATTAAAAAACATGTTTTTGAAAAATTTTTGAGAGGAATTCGCTCATCACGGATTCCAATTCTAAATGAAAAAGTTCTAACTAAAAAAGTGTTAACCAATTAGTTTACTGCCCTTTTTATTATCAGAACAATTGTTAATGAATATGTCGTACGGGTTTTAGACATATTTTAGTCGGTTCTAAATTATAGCTGTTGGAAAGGTCAAAATACTTAGTAAAGAGAAAAATCATTGTTGAACTTTTGAAACTTAAACATTCAAATAAATTAAGGTATAAGCATAACAAAAAAGTTCTTGTATACGCATTTTAACTTCTATAAACATTGTCCAGGATATAAAACCCATTGCTTTGTTTCCATGGATGATCAGTTTTGTTTCACAGCACAAATAAATAAATAAGTAATAAATATTTCTAATTTTATAAGTCATAAGAAAAAAAAAATGGAAATGAAACTAAATTACCCAAGACATCTTGCTGGGGATACCATTTTTCCAAATGAACATTTTTCGGAAGTTTTCCCTCATACGTGGCCGCCTCCCACTTCATAAGAACTTTTTCAGGAACCTTTTCGAAGACCTTCATAAACGCATCAACAAGCTTTCTGTTTACGGGATCGGACACATTTACATTAGATCCTAGAGAAAAGTATATGACACCGTTTACCGCTTCATACAGAACTTTTTGGATTTTCTGTAAAAATTAAAAAAAAAAATATTAGTTAAATAGTATCGTAATATCATCATTATTGGTTCATAATTAATAATTCCTTACACATATTTATATTATAAATAAATTACGAATTATCGAAGAACGAAGAAGGCGTAGTCCATGAGCATCTAGTTTAACAACAAGTTGAAAATTATTAATTGAATTGTCAGCGAAGAACAATCTACTACCAAACCTGTTTTAAGATGGATGAGAACACCGAAGAGTCGAGGTATTAGAACTTATCCAGAAAATGTCTTGGAGGAATACTAGTGACTTGGAACTCTGGCCTAAATTCTCCTGCCCTTGAAACGGGCTGCATTCACAATTCTTGATATTAAAGAGTGATGAAAGTCCATCGAATTCCGTAAGATATTGAATAATATTTTCTTCAAACGGATATATCCGTATTATGTAAATGTAACTGGCGGTCATCAAGCAGGATTCAAAACGGAGACACGCCAGACAATATTTTCATTCTACTGAAAGAACTTCAAAAAATGTGGAGAAAGAACCATGGAAGAACAAAATTTCTTTGTCATTTAGAATAGCCTTCGATTCGGTTTCCGGAAAGAGTCTCCAAGCGACTAAGTCTGAGAAATTGATAAGTTTGTCGAAAGCGTGTATTGAATGATTCAATATACTAATTCTTAATTCGAAGAATTGTATATGAAGCTGAAGCTTTTCATTTCATACATTTAAAGTAAGCAAATATGGTCCTGTAAAAGTCGATATACTCTTCCAAATAATTAATATTAAAAGTCTGCTAAGATAGCACCAATGAAATCTTGCACATTTTAAAGAAATAATTGCAAGTGTGGCACTTCACTGAATGTTATATATCACCTACAACATAGCTGAGGAATGTTTTCATTAGCTGCAGTAAGGTTAAATAATTAAATTTATATATACAAGCAGGAGAAAATTTTTTAGAAGCTTACAGAGAACAAAAATTATACTATTTTTAATTAATTAGTAAATTTCAAAGTCGTCTCGGATAGATGGATTAGAATTATGCGGAAATAATATGAAAACTTAATTTATAAATATATGGAAATGCAAAAATAATGAGTGGTGTACTTTTTAGGCATATTTTTATAATAGTTTATGTTATATTTTAAATTGAGTAATAAATTTGAATGTCAAAAATAAAAATTATGTAGTTTTTAAAAGAGTGAATTAACAAGGCTGTGATTGTATTTATGTTAATGTAATATTTTATAAATACGTAAATATAGTTTTAATAATCTAAATTTTTATTTCGGGGTTGTTGACAATGTAATGTTTTAAAATAAACATTAAATTGTTAATTACGTTAAAAGAAAATTAGTTTTAAAATGAACATAGCCTTATATAGGAATGTTTTAGTGTTTGAATAATTAAATGAAGTTGACAAGGGCAATTCAGTCCATAATGATTTTAAATTATTAAAATAGTTTTATAAAATAAACTATTAAATGAAAATAATTAATTAACGAATATAATTAGGCTGTGGTTACTGTTCTATTTGTTAAAGGTTCCTTACCTTAAAAATTGCCTAAGAGCTGAAACATTGATGTAAAAAAAAAAATAAAGTAGGACTATTGTGATCAAGTATGTTGTTTTATAGAGTATAAAAGTGAAGTCCTAAACTTTAACAACTTTAAATGCATATATTTAATTAATTCTATCGCTAGATTACTAAATCTTTTACAAATATTGTTGGGAGGCCGCGGTTTCCCTACCTATTATCTACACTATACAGTATAGCTCTAAATGTATTAACTGTCAAGCAAGATAGGTTTAAATAATTATATTAGTTTAGTTTAAGTCAGATCCCCCTGGTAAGAAAAAGTTAATTTAGAGTAACTAATGTAATAACCCAGATAAGAAGCTTGAAAAGTAAAAGCTTTAATTCGTACTCAGTGAAAATTCATTAACATCTTGCTAATTAAAACAATAGGAAAATATTACCCTTATCAATAATTATACATAAATAACTGAGGGAAAGGAAATAATATAATATAAGTGATAATTTATACCTTAGGCAGAGGTTTCGCAGGAGTGATAGTAACACCAGCAATGTCCTTCCTATGGGGTGGCCTTGGCACAGGGTAACCCACGACATTGTGGTAATTCACCAAGATGAGACTTCGGTTAGACAACAGTTGCATGAACGGAGGCCTGCTCTCGTGACCCGTGTAGTTGAAATACTGGTCGACAAATCTTTCCATTTGGCCCATGTAATAGTAACCTCCGATAGTGGTCACCGCATACACGTACATGTTGTACACTCTCTGCCCGAAGTTCATATTTTGGGTTAACTCTGATTTGAAGTCTACTTGGTAGGCAGGATTGTCTGGCAGTCCAGCCAATTCGTTCATCCATCCGGAGTCACCTTTGATACCAATTAATGAGTACAAGGTCAATGTATATTTACAATGGTTTGTTATATTCAATACATAGCAAAAATAAATTTACGATTTATCTATTGGAATTAAAAAAAAAATAATAACGTCTTCATTTGATTGATTTTCATATATCTTATTGCTTTCTTACTACCGAAGCTATCTATTCTAAACTCTGCGATCCGAATCGAAAATTTCTACTCGCATATTAAATTTTTTTTTTTTATTATATACATTACAACATGTCATACTGATGAGCTACATGTTTATGGTTGTATTAACCTTACACATGACATAATGGTGGTTTGAATACTACTTAGAAAATTGAAATTCATTTTTTACAGTAGGAAAATCTCATAAAAAACCTACATAAGATATAAATGAAAAAACTAGGTTACAATCATTAAAAGTACAAGAAAAACTAAATATAATTTATGTGCAAAAGGAAACTATATATATATATATATATATATATATATATATATATATTATATATATATATATATATATATATATATATATATATATATATTATATATATATATATATATACATACACACACACACACACACACACACACACACACACACACACACACACACACACACACACACACATATACATAAACACACACATCCTATAAGTACAATTTGTAGTCCAATATCGATTTTATTTGAAGTACTTCATATCAAGTGGCTTAACGTAATTATCGTTACATGGCGAATAAAACCACCAAATTTGGTTTGAAGGAGCTTTATGGAATACTAATAAATGTTAGGCTAGAAGATTTCCAAACATTTTCATGTATATCTATAAAATCCAAAATGACTGTCGAAAACACCAAATATCACATTCAACGCCATCTATTTTTTATGATTACTGTTTATTTAAATTTAAATTTTATTTAAAACAAAAAAAAAAAATATATATATATATATATATATATATATATATATATATATATATCTTACCTAAGGAAACAATATCAATTCCCACTGCATTGAACTTGTGTATAAAAGCAGACAGGTATTCCTGAAGGACGTATGACTCAACCAACACGGCGTCAAACTTTTCATCTGAGTGTATCAGTTTCTGCACTTTCGGGCTTTCCAAAATGAATGGTGATAAGGAAAAAGATAATCCAAAGAGCTGTTTCATGTGGTCGATGAGACCAACGTTGATTAAATCCATCACATTTACGGTAGCTATTAAAAACATGTGATAGTTGGTTTAGGTAAATTTCATAGTTGTTTACAAATGATTTCAAGATTTAGATTACATATATATCATACAGTGGAAGTTAGGCAAGTCTTCGGATAAATCCACCTGTTGGATTCCAGGTGGAACAGTTCCTTCATAACGGTACCCCGTGTAGTAGACCACCTCGTGCCCTCTCCTGCCTAGAGCAGCCATTACCGGCCTGAAGAAAAAATGGTGCGATTTGCCTGCTATGGGGAAGAAGGCCAAGATCCTGGCGGATTCGGTGTAGCCCAACAATATAAGCAGTAGCCAGATCTTCATTGTTTCGGGTGTCCTGTAAGTTTCAAGTCAAAGAAACGCATCACATACGGTAATGAGAGTATTGTATACAATAAGGGTAAATTAGTAAAGGATTGTTTAAACTTTTTATAATGTTAATTTTATTATTTCTTCCTTTCTGTATCCTTGATGTAGAAAATTAGCATATTACTCTTTACAATTTAATGAAAATGAAAAAAGATCTTGATCTACATTTGAAAACGTGTGTCTACAATTTTCGTACAACGAAATAACTACAAATTGTTAAAATATTGCAAAATAAATTGTTAAAATATTGCTTCTATCATACAGGGTTACATATAACTTGTCAATAAAAATTAATTTTTTTTTTTTATTCTCATTTAGATTTCTTACCTTTTAACTTCTGGTCAGTTTAAAATGAACATGAAAAACGGTTTCATCAAGGTATTGCCCAAATGGAGGAGAAGTATAGCGGTAAATGCAATGAGAAGATGCTTGTGCTGACAGCTCTTGGACGCTGCAACGAGAGACAACTGATGAACAATATAAAAGGAAAGAATATACTAACTGTCTAGGCTTAAAGTTATATTATGTCCAAGATTAAATTTTTTATATATTATTATCATTATTTACAAGAAAATAAATACATAAGTAAAAATGAATGACGTAAGAAAAAATATGTTATTTTCAAAATTTCATTTTCTGAAAAATTGCGACATACAAAAAAAAATTCTCAAGTTGGAAAAAAAATTATTTTTTGCAGAACAGTGTAATTGGTACTTCCTTTCCACCATGTAAATTTTATCATAATATATGTGACAATATAGGATATAGTTACTGGTTGGCCATCCATGTGGAACGAGAGCCCACCGAGCAAACTGAAGAAAATCAAGACATTTGTAAAATCATGGTCCAAATCGAACTGCCCTATTCGTAGAGAAGAAGTTGACTTGACTGGATTAAAGTTAAGGCATACAAACCTTATATATTCTTATCTGATAACCAAACAGCCTACACCAAAATGCCAACACTGCAATAGTATTATCTCAGACAGCCATATTCTCCAAGAGTGTCCTTATTACATATCAATTCTATGCAAATTAGGACTCCAAAATTATCAGTTATTGTTCAGGGATCAACCCCTAAAACACAAAAAATAACAACTCTATACAGTTAAAACTTCACCAACATTTCATAGCCAGCATCTTGCTGCAAACCATTCCTGTAGAGTTAATCTGTTCATTTTGGTATAGTGTGCACACATTAAGGTACTCTCTTAAGAAATGGCATGAAAAGACAATATGAGTTGCAAAACTACAAGAGAACAGCCTGGTGGAGGAAATATGGGGAGAAAGAAGAGATGGCCAAACCTTGAAACTAAATATCAGACAGAATGTGAGTCCAAATTGACAATCAAGCAATATGTAATTAATCTGTAAAGAACCACACCATTAGGCAAAGGCATAAATTACATTTGTTTTATTTTATTCAATTTTATACAATATAACCATTCTCTCAATATTTTGTTCAATTTAATCAATCATCAAATTTCAGTGATCCAACTTTATACAGTCCACACCAATTTTCACTATCACCAGCGCACTTACATATCATTGGGTAATATTTGGCTCACACCAAATTACCGTGATATAAGAGTTGTTTTAAACAATAATGAAGTTCAAGTAAGTCGGTGATAATTTTTCTGAAAGCTAACAATTTACTGTAGAAAATTTAAATTTGAATGGTTTATTTTTTTCCTTTCCTATAATAATTTATTATTGAACTAATGAAAATTAAGATTAGATAGACGTTGATGACCTCGGGGATTTACCTCTATAAGCCCTAAATAACAACAACAACAACAATACATTTACTAGGCCGTAAAGCAAACAGAAACAAAAAAAACTAGGTATCTGTATGGAGTACGAAAAAAGTAATGCTATGTATTGTAAAGACCGCCGGTGGAATAATTATTTTAAAGGTATAAATAAAGAAATATCATAAGTGCTCACATCTGGCGGTTGGGTACCTGAGCGAGGGTAACGAGCCACAATGACAACCTATTGTAAGTGGTAATAAAAACCCTTAAGAACCACCGACCAAGACTGACAACAGAGTGTTTAAACAGGATCCCGAAAGACCTTTCACACCTTCCACCAGAAATACGTAAATCTGTACCTGCTGCTTTACCTTGGCCTGGGGGAGCGGGTGTGGTCATCCCTTTGGCTAGGAATATTCAGGCAATCAGAAAAGACTACCAAAAGAGAGGGGGATGAAGAAAGGTGGAAAATAGGGAATTGGGACTGAACACTGAGAACTGGGACACAGGCGAGGACTTGATCAAGAGAAGCGGAGAGAGGAGGATATGGACTGATAGCTGGGACTCAGGCTAGAAGACAGTCGGAGGGAGCAAGATGAAGACTTGAAGACCAGATCGACGGAGCTTCCAGAGAGGTAGCCAAAACAGCTAGAGATAACGACAACACCCCTCACCAGCTAGGTAATAACCCTCATTTAGTTATACAGATGTAAATTTGTGTTGGCAACCATAAATCATTAATTAATAAAATAAATAGAACACATGTAACTCTAATCAAGCATTCTCCTCTAGTATGATTCTCAACTATTATTATGTGTATAGGTTTGTTCATTATCAATGTATATGTTTTGGGTATTTAAATTTGTAAATATAATAGTTAGTAAACCATCTTGATGATTTTACATTCTACCTTGCATGCCAAAAATTAGATATAGAACAAATAGTAAATTTAAAAACATGATACCTTTAGAAAATAAATCCAATAAAAATTATATGGTTCAATCTAGGATACTACAGTAGGGGCTCTGTGGTATCTAAACGTTTAAATACATCATTAATATATTTTTCGGTAGATCGGTTCCCTTCGGGGACCGATATAAATACCAATATAAGTATTTAATACAAAGAAATGCGGATTCTGGAACCCCCTACTCGCCGTAGAAACGCGAGGCCAGGAACATAGCAGTAACCCATTGAAACTTTAGGAAGTCCAGATGTCCACATCGATATTAGCAAACATTGGAGTGTAGAAACTAACGTTAATATAAGGAAAAACAGATTAACTTATATAAGGCTGTTAATTAAATATTGGAAAAGGTTACAATTTGCTATGGGTGATTTTTGAAACACACACCATAAAGTCATTAATATTTAATGTCTAAAATCATACTTACTTTTGAGTTCAATCGTTCTCCCTATCTGAAAACATTATTAAATTTATTTCGAAAAAGTACAGTAATATTTTTGTAAATAGTGAACATATTAATTATGTATAAAATCTAGTAACATACGGTATATGTTATATGCTGATGTGAGTTAATTCCATTGGATGAAATCTATGGAATGATACAAATATAGGCTAAGATGTCAAAAAGGTAGTGAGCCTGAAAGTGGTCTTATATCATGGAAACGTTTATCCCCTCCTATCGTCCTTCACCCAAGCCTCATAACGCCGCTAAAGAACACTAATTCCCATAATTAAATAAGACTATTAAACTAATGATAAACACAGAAGCCAAAAAATAAGTTTAGAAAATTAGGCAATTTCTGCAAGAAGTGGTCCTTGAAACGCTATTGAGCAAACACAAATTAATTATAGGAACTATAATTCTTGTAATTTTTGACACGTGGACTTATATTTAATAGATGGATTTTTATTTTCTGTCGGCATTACAAACCTTATATAATATGTTTTGCCGCCTTAACAAGGCTGCTCCATCTCTACCCATCTAGGTCTATTTCTTTCCAGCTGCCCGCATCTCTATGGCATCTTTGTTCATTCTATGCATTTATATGATTTTTGGCCTTCCACGTATTCTTTTACCTTCTATTGAGGCATTCATTGTTAAGTATAGGCTCCCAGGTGGGTTATTTTGAGCTTCATGTCTCGCCTAATCCTCCTTAAAAATTAGGAAACTTAAGTCTGGTATATCTAGTATAGCTGGAGGTTGATTACAAAAAAAATCTCGAATGATTTATGATTTTTAAAAGGTGAATTTAGCTTAGTTTAGTCCCTCAAAAGGATAGGGGGCGGGGTGGTCGAATGGGCTAAAGCGTGTGCACAGCACCACGAATTGCCTGGCAACCAGATAGCAGATTGGAGAGATTAAAAAAAGTGCGAGTTCGCGTCCCGGTGCCGGATGGGATTTTAAATTCCCGCCCTCATGCCGGCCCGGAAAAATCCCGTATAGCCTAAAAACCAAGGTAGGGAAGAACAGAAAGAAAAAAAAAAGTTCCTCAAAAGCCCTCTTTAAGTGGTTTTAACAAAATGAAATTCTACTTTCATTTGAACGTAGGTTTTGTTTAATTTATAGTGAAATATTGTTTAACTAGTCAAATTAAATATTTGTTAAGGTACCACTTAATATTTAATAAAAAAATTAACTAAAAGAAACGAAAAACGCTAAATCAACGGTTAAGAATTCTGAGTTCACTTCTTTCGAAAAATTCATAACTAAAACTTAGACAGAAATTGAACACATACATTTACTTACTAAAACCTATTTGGACTTACGCATCATAGATATTTGGAACTGCTAAAAAGGCTCACTTAAACAAAATTCAAATCTTTCAAGCAAAAACATTCAGAACAATTACAAAAGCACCTTGGTACGTTAGCAACATTCTGACCTCCATATGCCGACCGTTAACGAACACATACGAACTCATTACAAACGATTCCATGCCAACTTACAAGGACATCCTAATACACTTATAAATGACATGACCACTACGAATATACCAGGTAACGTCTGTCGGAGACTGAAGAGGAGCTCGATGAGGGACCTCCTCGCCTAATGTAGATATCACGCCGAATGAGGTGACGCTGGGCACTGATCACCGTAATGCCTTTCATGACATTATTTTTTCCAACGACCTCACATTCACTGGTTGTCATTACCACTATGACAGGTGTGAATAAAAAAAATTAAAGCAAAAAAAAAAAAACTTACTTAAAAAAATCTGGTGCGCGCAACACACAACTCTCACTTACTGCTCTACTTTGAATAAAAATTATTTTCTGGCAACGCTGGACTATTATAAAAATTTTACACGGAGCTAAACTTTAAAGCTTACAGATAACAAGTCATTAAGAATATTATAATTACAAAAAGTCTATTTATTATATCGACGATAGGCATTAAAAATCTAGTCACTCCTTCTGCTTTTATAAACCACAAAATTTCAATCTGAAAGTCTTTCAGTTGACATAATAACTAACTTCAATTTCAACATTTTTTAGTAATGTCATGTTAGTGATATTTATAGTTAAAAAATTATCTATACAGACAGTAAGTTGATACTGACGTAGATGATAGCAGTGTTGAAATATAAAACTGTGAATAAAGGTATAAATTTTGCCACTGGAAACATCACTAAAATTAATAATGAAGAATGTTAAAATTGGAGTTAGTCATTTTGTCAACCGAAAGGCTCCTATATGTCTACAGAGGTTTGAAAGTATATCTGAATATTCA